TGCAGAAATTTCAGTTTTGTCTAATTTTGTCCTAGAATGTTTGATTCGTCGGTGACTAGAGGTGAATAAATCTCGCTGTATGAAGCGTGGTTGCCTTATACGGGGAGGCACTGACTACTTTTGCTGTATTTTTTTCTGTTTATTCTGCTAATTTGGGGCAGTTAAAGGGTTAAGCAATGTGTTCATTAATTAACAGTATTCACAAACACCATTAGGCGCTCGGTGCACACACAAACAATTCTTGCTAACTTGGTGCAAACACTTATTGCCTTGTCAACTGGCTCTTATTTCGCTCCCCTGTTGTGCCTGGGTGTGGAGACAGTGAAGTCAGCCAGAGTTCACCGTACGCCAGATCACCCTGCAGGAATTATCACGCTCAGCCGGCTAGGGATCACAGGCAGAACTTTCTAGGGACCTTTAATAACCAGCCAGCACTTGGAGGTGGTAAAACAGCATGCAGCACAGTCAGTGAATCAGCCTAGTGATCTTATCTGCAACTCCTACCATCCAGAAACCATTGCTCCACTTAAACAATGCATAGTTCAGGGCGGGAAGAAGCTGTCTGCACTAATCATTGTGTGTGATGCAGCCCTGGCCTACGCATTGTACAATACCGGTTATCCAGAAAGACTTGAAATGTTTTGCTCGTTGTTTCCAATGTCCCTCCTTACGGCTAAGAGCAAATACCATCCCCAATTACCATATTCCAAAACTGAGCACAGCCAGGTGTCGGACCGCAAATACTATAACTCTCATCTCACCCATCTGGTGAAGAATGAGAAGTGCACTCTTCAGCATGTGGACTTTATAGATAGAGCTACAATATTTCTGTTGGTTTATCTCAAACTCCCATAACGCTTAACCCCAACATAATTCCAAACTCTAACTCCCATAACTTCTAAAAGTAACTGTTAACTAACTCCTAATGGTAATTGCCATCACTCCTAACCTTCTCATAACTCCTAACTCTAACTCTCACAATTCCGAACCATAACTCGTTTCACTGTCTAGCTCTGTAGAGGTAATTGGATTATCTTGCCAACAGGTTTGGGCCTCACAGGCATCCTGAATATACTGAACACGTGGAGGATTTATTATATCTGTGTCCCTAGCATTGGATTTTGCATTTATGGAATTGTTAGACAAATTACGAGTTATGACCCAGACATCCAGGGAAAGAATTATTCATAAAAGGACCGGTCCAGTCACAAGCTGTTAATGTAAGGTTTCATTGCCCGTTTAATGTGCCAGATAGACACTTTGTGTTTCTCTATTTTAAAGAGTCTGATACTGATATGGATGCTTTGCAACAATGCTTTATCTGCTGCTTCCCTGGCTGGGAATTATGCTAAAATATTAATCATGTGAAAAGCTGAACCCTACCTTTTATTGCTGCGTTGGAGTCAAGGCACTCACCTGCCCTCCTTTAATATCTGTTACATAATTTATAGCTAAAAGCATTGATTGGTTTTGCCTGAAACCTGCATACTGGGGACTACCAGGAAATCGCTCCTATCTGCATAGTTTATTGTATCCGTTCTGCGATGGAGACAAGGCAGGGGATAGTGGGAATAATTCCCAGACATCGTCTAAACCTCCTCGTTATTAACCACTAATAGGAAATCATTGAAAACCAGAGATTTGTAGCGTTGGCAGATACCTGATACCAGCGCCCTTTTACAAATATCGACCACAGGTGTGTTAGGAAGGAGGATCCTCTCCAGCCAACGTTACGACCGCTTCACACTGTTATCAAGCTTTGACAAAGACCCGGAGGGGTCTGCATGTTGTCCGGTCACCTCTGTGATGGCGATACTAACGGCCAATCGAAGTAACTAAATAATTCACGATGCTTTGTTTGGTGGAGGTACCTCTCCAACACTCGTGGCATCCTACTTGGATCTGTGGGCTGACTCCCGGTTAACCTTAAAGGGATACTAAAGAAGTCACCAACACCACTGTAGCTTAATGAAGCAGTGTTGGAGTATAGATCCTGCCTCTGAAGTCTCACTGCTCAATCCTCTGCCATTTAGGAGTTAAATCACTTGACATGTGCACAGTCGTTATTTGGCATGTGCCATAACCCATCCCCACTTCCTTTAATAAACACAGACACCATTTTCTGTTGGAAATATATAGTCCACAGCTTTATTAGCCCCTTCAGGACGGAGTCAATAGTACACGTTCTGATCAAAACAAAATGTAAACAAAAACTGGTATTTGCGCTATATGTCTGTTCACCCGTAGTTCACCTCTTTCATATTAAGTGCACCCACACTTATTATATATCATTTTGTTCAGGAGAAACTGGGCTTTAATTTCTCATGAATGATTCATATTTGAAACATAATTTATTATGGATAAAATTTAAAAAACTGTGAGAAATTAAGATTTTTTAAAAAATTTGTAGACATTTTACCCATAAATTCGTTCCCATTTAAGATTACCACATACATGCCAAGGTTTTCCACTGCCAGAGATCGCCTTACATGCATCAAATAGTAGAATGCCCGTAGAATGTATAGTATTTATCACAGTCCTATTTATCAAGGTCCCCTGGAAGTTACTGTTCTGAATTACCAACCAAATTGTATGGGGTTTGAATTGGGGATCAAAACATTTAGGCTCTCCTGATATTGGTTTGCACACACTGTAAACTATATCTAAATATCTACACTTAGATACAGATCCCCTACACTCATACTGTGAGTACCAAATGAGAGTTTGGGATATTTGGTTACCTGTTTTTGTAGTCTTAATGCAGCTAACACAACTCTGTATGTCCTCACCTTTACCTTCCTGAAAAATCACAAAAATGCCTAAACACATAATATAACATATTATTTCAAAAGTCCTCATTTCTACTCTTTGACCGTGCGACGGCACCTCACCTTCCCGATTGTGAGGGCTGCAAGAATTGTCGTTCTTCTGATCCTCACTTTTCTTCACAGAGGTCCCTTCGAGACACTCTGGCTATGACACGTAGGCAGGTGGTCAGGCTTTATTATGGCCGTCAAAACACCTGCTTGCTGATATCTCTTGTTACTTTCAACTAAGATGTCCCAATATCTCCTCGTATGATTTCTCACTTCGACTGAGCTACCCGCTTTAACTGGATCTTGCAAGGATTTTCAGAATCTGGAATAGCTTGCCAAGAATCTGCCGCTGGTTTAACCCTAGAATGATGAATCCACTGAGTCACTTCTGCCACCTTTACAGCTATTGGAGTAGATAAAAGAACAACCTAAGGACCCATCCACTTTGGACCTAATGGAACAATATTCCATTCTTTTATCCACACTTGATCTCCCGGTTGATAGGAATGAACAGGTGGATATATGTTCACATGTAACCTATCTTGCACCCATTTCTGTACTTCCTCCATAGTTTTACCCAACTCTACAACCTGCTGCCGAGTAATTCCTTCACCCAACTGATTCAATTCCCCCCTTAGATTACTGAGTATGGGAGGTGGACGCCCATACACGATTTCAAAGGGAGACAGACCCATTCTTCTGGTAGGAGTACTACGTACCACAACAAAGCTATTGGCAAAAGGAAATTCCTCTTGAGCTGAGTTTCCTGACACATTTTAGCCAATTGGGTTTTTATTGTTCAGTTCATCCTTTCCACCTTTCCAGAACTCTGAGGTCTATATGCTGTATGAAGTTTCCACTTAATACCAAGCACATGAGTCAATTGTTGTAAACACTGATGGATAAAGGCTGGACCATTGTCTGATCTGATAGAACATGGAAGTCCATATGTGGGTATAACTTCTCGCAACAGAAATCGTACAACTTCTCCTGCCTTTTCTGTACGAGTTGGACAAGCTTCCACCCAACCTGAGTAGGTACACACAGCTACCAACAAGTAATGATATCCCCCAGATTTAGGCATTACAGTATAGTCTATTTGCAAATCTGACATTGGGAGTCCTCCCATATATTGAACTCCAGGGGGTTTGACAGTCTTGCATTGTTTCAAGCACACAAATCACATCTTCGAACAATAGCTTGAGTAAGATTGGATAATCTTGGTATGTAGAAATGTTTTCTGAGAGATTCTTCCATACTATCTCTTCCTGAATGTGTACCATTATGGAAGTTCTGAACAATCTCTATAGCCAGATATCGGAGTCCATTGAGACAGAGGTGCCGGCACAAGGGCAGCAACATACCCCACATATTCCTCTTGCCCGGATTCAGCGGCATGTTTTGCTGCACTATCGGCCATGTAATTTCCTTTTACTGCATCACTATCAGATGTGCCCTGCAATGTATAATACCGACTTCCTTCGGTTCCCATACCGCCTCTAACAGTTGGAGTATTTCTGCGGCATACTTGATTTCTTTCCCTTCTGAATTCAACAATCTCCTTTCTTTATACAATGCTCCATGGGCAGGGGTGGTTAGAAAAGCGTATTTCGAATCTGTGTAAATATTCACTCTCAACCCTTCAGCTAATTGCAAGGCCCTTGTTAATGCAATCAGTTCCGCCTTCTGTGCTGATGTCCCTTTTGACAGTGGCCGTGCTTCTATCACCTTGTCTATGGTTGTTACTGCATACCCTGCATAACGTATATCTTCTTTCACATAACTACTACCATCCGTATAATACTGTATGTCCGGATTCTGGATGGGGAAATCATGAGGATCAGGCCTGCTTGAAAACACTTCATCTCCAAACAATCATATTGACTTTCAGTAGTCTGGGGCAGAAGGGTAGCTGGATTCAAATTATTGACAGTTTCGAGGTGTACTCTTGGATTTTCACATAACATAGCTTGATATTTGGCCATTTGACTGTTACTAAACTAATAATTTCCTTTGTAATCCAATAGGGTCTGTACTGCATGGGGTACTCGCACATAGAATTCCTGACCCAATGTGAGCTTGTCAGCTTCTGCTACCAACAGGGCAGCGGCGGCCACTACTCGCAGACAAGGTGGAAGACCACTGGCCACTGCATCCAACTGTTTGGACATATAAGCTACAGGTCTTTGCCATGATCCCAAGTACTGAGTTAATACTCCCACAGCCATTCTTCTTTGCTCATGTACGTACAGACAGAAAGGACGCGTGGGATCTGGTAGACCTAGGGCTGGGGCACTAATAAGTGCTTTCTTAACATCCTCAAATGCCTTCTGTTGTTTAGAGGTCCACAAAAAGGGGTCATGTTCTGTGCCTTTCACAGCTTCATATAGAGGTTTTGCCAGTATCGCATAATTAGGAATCCATATCCTACAGAATCCTGCTGCTCCTAAGAATTCTCGCACTTGTCTTTTATTCTTAGGTATAGATATCCGACACACTGCTTCTTTTCTTTCAGGTCCCATTATTCTTTGACCTTCGGAAATATGGAATCCTAAATATTTAACAGTTGACTGGCACAATTGCGCTTTCTTCCTTGATACCTTGTATCCTGCTCTCCATAGAATGTGAAGCAAATCACGAGTTGCTTGTTGGCATATCTCTTTAGTAACAGCTGCTATCAAAAGATCATCCACATATTGAAGCAGTACACATTCTCCTGGGATGGACTTGAAATCTTGCAGATCCTGGCTTAATGCAGATCCAAATAGGGTAGGTGAATTCTTGAACCCTTGAGGTAGTCTGGTCCAGGTCATCTGACGCTTTGAACCTGTAACAGCATCTTCCCATCGGAAAGCAAAGATACACTGACTCTCAGCAGCAATCCGA